TTGATTTTGAACCATTTGTTGTTCCCTTGTCCCTAGGTTATTTATTTTTTAATCGTTTTATTAGGGGCTCATACAACTCTTATCACAATCCATACATACATCAATTGTGTAAAGCACATTGATCCAATAGACTTTGTTTCATAGTTAAGCCCTTAGCCATAAATTGATTTTTTTTAAATCAGAGAAAGGGATTTTTAAAAACTACATTACTGAAAAGTTGGTTTGACACGAGATACTGACTTCCTGACAATTGAAAAAAAAGGTGTGTTTTTTTCCTTTCAGAGTTTTGTTAAGAGTTTTTATTCTCAGATTTTGCTAGGCTTTATCTATCTATAATGAAGAGAAGTAGAAAAGAATAAAGGAATGATACTATAAACAAAATATGATACTAGCTTGTGTTCAGTCTCAGGCCCTCATCGAAGAACTTTTGTTATATAAGCGCTCAGAAGACCAAATAGAATTGAAGGAAAAGCAGTTGTCTACTATGAGAGTGGACGTATGCAGCACAGAAACCCTCAAATGCTTAAAAGGTAAACTTACATTCTTTCAAATAGAATAATTCCGATTCTTTTTTCAGACCTGTCATTTGTAAGTAATCAGACTAGCTTTCCTCATAAAGAGAGGTTGTAGAAAGCAGTTGTGGAACCATTGGTTTCCCAGGTAGTAGTTTTATGCATGTACATTTCCTTACCTATATGTTTTTTTGATGTATTATTTGTTGTTGTATCAATTGTTAGTTTGGGGTGCTACTTAATATAGTAGGTATAATGTCCCGTTAAAGCTACATAGTAGGTTGTTCTTTTTTAAATATTGTAAATTGAAAATAACCATTCTAATAATTTACTAGAATTTAACTCCTATGAAAGCAGGAATTACCATAATTTATTCATTGCTATAACTTTAGGGTCTAGAAAATACCTGGCACATGATGGATTTTTTTATAGGACTTTTCACAACAATGAGTGAGTAACAGCTAGGTTTCATTGTGGTAGCCATTATTCTAGTAGTAGTTTAGTTCCTTTACTGTTCTTTCACTTAACATATGTAATAAAATGTTATCTTCACAAGTATATGTAAAACTTTGTTTCACAGGAATCTGAGACTACCTAAGGGGTTGAGTAGTTTGCCTAAGCTATATAGCAGATAAAAGACAAAGCTACCTTTGTACCCATATCTATAGTCATATTCCGAAGAAGTATATTTAAGAAAGTAAACAGTTGGCATTTGTGAATGTTGCTGAAAAATAATTCATAATCTATAGTCTTCTGATACTGGATTATAAAAATCTTCAGATATGAAAGAATCACACAGAAATCACTTTTTTGTATTGTAGTTTTCTCATCTAAGAGATGTGTTATTACATTCCCTTTATTCCCGAGTGGCATCATTTGTGAATCAGCAAACTTTGTTAGAGTTGGACTTTTTTTCCTGTACCTTATTTTTTTTCTCTTTACCTTAATTAAATGTGCCTTCATGGTATGATACCTTCTTTAGTGTTCATATGTATCCTCTTAATAATTAAATCTGTTTATGTTTTGAGAGGTTTCCTTAAGGTATCAGCTTTAAAACTCTGAGTCTAAAATGAGAGGAACTAGATGGGGCCCAGTTACTAGTGCTGACCATTCTGAAAGGAACCACAGAAGGTCTTGGGTAGAAAGAGAAAAATGTGTGAAAATAAATCCGAAAAAAATTTTTTTAATTTTTAAATGCCAGGATTACTGGTCAGAACTGGTAGGACCCTCAAGATGATGGCATTTAGTCACTCACCCTTCAGGCTTGGAATTGAATTTCACCTCCAGTGTCTGGGTTTTCAGCCCAAACAATAGACAGGTCTTTGTGACATTTGAACACTAGGGAGGTATGCACTCATTAGAACAATCAACCATTTGAAATCAAAAGGGCAGCGTTTACTCAAGGACAAAGTTCAGAAGGCAGACAGGAATGGGAATGGAGGGGGCTGGAAAATGGGAAGCACAGGGTAGAAACAGCATGAGTGACACTTGTAGAGATTACGATCTACGATGTGGAGCAAATTGTGTTTGAATTGTTGAATGGAAAATTGATAAACTCAGTCAATCTTCACCTAATTCACAATGAAAGGTTTTTTAAAAAAATGTTTGAACAGATTAAAAAAAATAAACCGTAAGGCTAAAAACACTGCATATTGAGATATCAAGAACAGGTTTACAGATCATGTAGAGAGAAACTATCTTCAAAAGACTATTATCTTTACTTTTTGTCTTGATATGAAAAATTCTGCTATTCTTTTAGATAAAACAGGTGGGAAGAAGTTTTCCAAAGAATTTGAAGAGGCAAGCTCTAAACTGGAGGAATTTGTGAATGGATTAGACAAGCAGGTGAAAAATGGACCCTCATTAACTGAAGCACTGGAAAATGCTGGCATTTTCTATGAAGCACAATACAAAGAAGTAAAAGTGGTGGCCAATGTAAGTGAAAATTGAGCTATGTCATATATTCAGTACTTACTATATGGTGGATGTTGTTTATATGTTACTTAGTGCCATGAGAAGCATTAGTATTTCTATTTTACAAATGAAGTTTATTTTGAAGAAGGCTAGTAACCTTGTTTAAGGTAATACAGGTAGCAAGTAGTGGAGTCTAGATTAAGATTTGGGTAGGTTTTCTTTTGTTTGTTTTTTAAATCATTTTATTGGGGGCTCATACAACTCTTATCACAATCCATGCATACATCCACTGTGTCAAGCACATTTGTATATTTGTTGCCATTATCACTCTCAAAACATTTGCTTTCTACTTGAGCCCCTTGCATCAGCTCCTCATTTTCCCCCTCCCTCCCCACCACCCTTTCCCTCATGAACCCTTGATAATTTATAAGTTATTATTTTGTCATGCCATACACCGTCTGACATCGCCCCTCACCCACTCTTCTGTTGTTCGTCCCCCAGGGAGGAGGTTATATGTAGATCCATGTAATCAGTTCCTCCTTTCCCCTCCACC